GACCGGGGCAGAGCTAGGCCGCTCACCTAAGTCAGTGAGCAAGAAGGTCAGCCAGCGGAGCTCCTGTGCCGCCATGGCACCGGCGTAGATCTCGGCCTCACAGCTGGACTGGGCAACAGACGAAGAGCGGGTAGCTCTCCACGAGACAGCACCTGAACCAAGGCTAAAGCAGTAGCCCTGGGAAGACCTGAGCGTCTCGGCGTCGTCTGCCCAAGAAGCGTCTGTGTGTCCAGTAAGGACCACTGGCCTGCGTCCGCCTAGCACTAACCCCATGCCCGATGTACTTGCAAGATAACGCAAAACCCTCTTAGCGGCAGACCAGTGCTGAGGTCGGTGCCTGCCAGTGGCCACGAAACGAGCCAGGATGCTGAGAGGGTATGCGAGATCTGGGCGAGTGCAAGTCATCAGGTACATGAGGCAACCCACTAGCTCAGCGTAAGGACCACTGGGATCTACCGACTCCTCAGGAACTGGAGCGGAGAGTCTGTGGTCCAGAGGAAGAGGGGTGGGCTGTGCGGAGGAGAACTGAAGGCCGAACCTCTGAAGGACCTGGCGCACCAAGTGTGACTGAGTCAGGGTGATGGTGCGCGCGACTCTGTCCCTGGAGATCTGCAAGCCAAGGTAACGGCGCAGCTCTCCAAGGTCAGTGCAGGTGTGTCTCTTCAGCAGCTCTGCCTTCACGGAGGCCAGTGCGTCCCTGTCAGCAGTGGCAAAGACCAGGTCGTCTACGTAGACGAGGATGTAGAACGGAGTCGAGCCAGCACGAACGAAGAGCGAGGGGTCTGCAGAGGACGGAAAGAACTGCAGGTCAGCAAGGGTAGCACGCAAAGTGTCGTGCCACTCACGAGGCGCCTGGCGCAGGCCGTAGACTGGCCGCCGCAGAAGCCACTGGGTCCCAGGGGGGAAGGTGCCAGTAAAGCCCTGAGGGCGACGCAGGTAGACCTGCTCGTGAAGGCTGCCCTGAAGAAAGGCAGTGGAGAAGTCGAGGGAGTGAAGCTCGTAGTCACGCTGAGCCGCTACGTGTAGCAGCACCCGAAGAGTAGTCATCTTCGGGGTAGGAGCGAAAGTCTGAAAGAAGTCCACCCCCTCGCGCTGACTGAAGCCTCTAGCCACGTAGCGCGCCTTGAACACAGGCGGCTCTCCAGGAGGGCGCTTCACCTTGAAGAGCCAACGGCCATCGACCACGTTCACCCCAGGTGGGGGAACTGCGTCGACGAAGGTGCCGGTGGATCTCCAAGATGCCATCTCCTGCTCCATGGCAGCTATCCACTGAGAGGCCCAGGGTCCCGAAACCGCCTCAGCGTAAGTACGAGGGGTCGGGATGTCGAAAGCGTCTGGGTCACCCTGAGGGACTAGAAGCATGGAACAGAGATGGGGAGCAGCCTCGGACAGGAAAGCAAGCTCAAACTGGCGGTCCTCCAGGACGTCACTGCCGAGGGCAGGAGCACCCCCGACAGACGGAGGACAGGCAGGGTGAGAGACCAGAGCGGTGGCGTAGTCAAGGCGGCGGGTAGAGGCGAAGTCAGCGACCGCAGCGACGAGGGCGTCAAGACTCGACACGGGAACAGACGGGTCGGTAACGAGAGAGGCAAGGACCCGAGGAACAAGAGGACGAGCGGCACGAAAGGAGTCGGACAGAGGAGGAGACGCAACGACAAGAGAGGATGGAGGAGGAGACGGGAGGAGGGGAGGACGAGACGCGTGGGACCGGAGCAACATAGGGTGAGAGCGCGGGACAGGGGAGACAGGACGAGCACGAGAGGGGCGGCGAGACCAGACGTGTGAGGGCGGCGTCGGGTCAGGAGACAGAGGAGGGGACACAGGAGGGGAACGAGGGGGAAGACGAGCCGGGGACGAGTCTGGCAGAGGGAACACGGGGCCGTAGACGGGAAGAGGGGGAGACGGCAGGAGAGGAACAGGCGCAGGGTCAGGAGACGGAAGGCCGAGCAGACGGAGGGCGGACACAGGCGGGGACTGCTGCTACGGCGACACAACACCAACACCAGGGCCACAAGCTGCGCGACGGCTACCTCCCAAACCCTCCACACCTGCACCCCCAGAAGGGACACCCCCAGAGTCCACAAACGGCGGCAGCGACGACAGCGGCGGCGGCGGCGGAGACGACGGCTGCAACGGCGGCGGCGGTGGAGACGACGGCTGCAGCAGCTGCGGCGACGGCGGCTGCGGAGGCGGTGGAGGAGGAGACACCGGGGGAGGGACAGACGGCGAGGACTGCGCCGGAGGACTACCAGAGTCAGAAGACTCGTCGACCGGGACGACCGACGGGAGGGGGGTGACGTGAGACACACCAGAGGGGCCGGACGGGGGGGCGGGGGGGGGGGAGGGGCAGGGACCACCAGGGAGGGAGGAACCAGGAAAAGGGGGGGAGTAACCGGGGGACCACGGTGGGGAAAGCGGCGGTAGAAGGAGACGGACTCGTCAAAGGTGACGTCGCGAGAGTGAAAGAAGCGGTGAGACGGCGGGTGGTAGAAGTGCCAGTCGGACGCGTCAAGGGGGAAACCGAGGAAGACGCAGGGGAGGGTGCGGGCAGTGAGCTTGTTCGTGCCAGAGGCACGAACGTGAGCAAGGCAGCCCCAGACGCGGAACGCAGACGCGTCACCAGGGGACCCGGTCCACAGAAGGGTCGGCGAAACCTGCGGCCGCTGGGGGTGCGGCCACAGGTTAAGCTGGTGAGCGGCGTAGCGCACGGCGAACGGCCACAGAAAATGGGGTGCACCGGCGTGGATCATGGAGGTGCGAGCCACCTCCATGACCAAACCGATGCGTCGCTCAGCGACCCCATTCTGCTGCGGGGAGTCCGGCAGGGTAAACGTCTGGGTGATGCCCTCCGCACGACAGAAGTGACCAAGGACACCTGAGGCAAACTCGCCACCCCGGTCGGAGTGAAGGCGCAAGGCAGGGAGACCGCGGTGGACACGAGCAGAGACAAGCCAGGGGATGAGAACGTCAGGCACGTCGGCCTTCCGCTCCAGGGGGAAGACGGTGGTGTAGCGCGTGAAGTCGTCGACAAGCACTAGGAAGAAGCGCTCGCGACGCGGCCCATGGACCGGGGCTGGGCCCCAGACGTCCATGTGCAGAGTCTGCAGTGGTGCGGTGGTAGGGGGAAAAGAGGAGGAGTGAGGGGCACGGCGGAGCCGGCCCTCGACACAAGGCGTGCACGGTGGGGCGGGGGAGGAGGGAAACTCGGGGAACGAACCGGGGAGACCAAGGACGAGACCGTGCTGGGACATGTGACGCAGACGTGGGAGTGCAGGGTGACCAAGGCGGTGGTGCCAAAGGAGAGTCGGGTGAGTGAGGGACCGACAGGAGCACGCGGCTGCAACCTGGGTGGACGCAACTACCGGGGGGGAAGACCCAGCCGGGGACGGCGCGGTGTCAAGTGTGAACAGGCCGGACACCGGGTCCCGGGGGAAAGTGGTAAGGGGGGCACCAGTGGCGGCCTCGGTACAGACAGCATACCGCTCGTGACCAGGGAACGTAGTGGTGACGCCAAGGTCCTGGAGGCAGCCGACACCAACTAGGTTCCTGGAGAACGAGGGGATATGCAGACCTGTGAGAGTGCCCGAAGGAACCGCCGGACAGGGAAGGGAGGTGGAACTGCGGGCAACGACGGGACCACCGGAGGGGTCAGCAAGAGTAACTGCAGCGGGAACAGGCAGCGGCGTCAGCGTCGTGGAGTCGCGGAAGAAACACCGGGAGGCGCCAGAGTCCAAGGTGAAGGAAAGCGCAGCAGTCGCGCGAGGCAGCAGTGAAGCGGTGGAAGCACCAAGGCTAAGCAAAGCAGGAGATCCTACGCCTGACGCAGCAAGGGAGTCTACGCTAGGCACCGCTACACTAGGCAACACGGGGTAATAAGAGGGAAGCACACTAGAGTCATCAGCATACATCACATGCAAGGCCGCTACAATGGCATCCATGTCCAAGTCAAAAATCCTAATGCTACGCCTAAGCAAGCTGTGCCAGTCCGGGAGGTCGGGCGCCGGGCCAAAGCGCTGGCGGAACAGGTCGTCCAGGCGACGAAAACAGCGAGGAGTAGAATGACCGATCTTACCGCAAACGAAGCCGCGGCGATGACCGGTCTGGATCTGGTACTGACAGGGCCCGCCTCCAGAACCACCACCCGGTGCACCACCACGCGCACGACCACCACCAGCTCCAGGCCACCCAGGTGGGAGAGTACTCGCCGGCCTCGTCTGCGGCGGCTGCTGCGGCTGCTGCAAAGGCTGCGGCTGCGGCGACTGCTGCTGCTGCGGCTGCTGCAACTGTGGAGGCAGCGGGGCAGCTGGACCGGGCAGGGTCCCCACGTCCGCACTGGCACCGGACGACCCGCCTCCACCACTACCCCCACCCGCACCCCCGCCGCCTCCGCCGCTCCCAACCTTGGGGCGGCGGCCCTTCGCCGAGCGGGACTGCACTGCAGCAGCAGTCTCAGCCACAGCGACAGAGCCGTCGGAGAAGGTACACTGAGCGGGGGCACAACCCTGAAAGATAGGGACCGGTACTGTACCGCTCGCCAGGGCTATGGAGCGGTGACGAGTCTCTATGGCAGTCAGGGTGTCAACAAAGTCGGTGAGGGTGAGAGCAGCAGGGTGGATGCTAAGGAACTGGTCGCGGGCGGCGGCAAGGCGGTCAGGTAGGCGGGTGGCAAGGAGGTAGAGGGTAGAGGTCATGGGAGGCTGGTGGACTCTAAGCTGAGCATCAGTGCAGGCAGCGCGCCAGGCCTCATCTATCGAGCGCAGGTGGGCAGCGAGGTCAGAGACAGTGGGGAAAGACGCCAGCTCTGATACCATAACAAACAGTAAAATTGATGAATAGAGAGAGAGAGTACACAAACATATACCTAACAGTTGTACTCTCTAGAAGATGACCCTATACAGTCTATACAAGCATGATAACTAAACATGTTTGACAATTCTCTCCCGATATAATCGGACTTATGTACCGAAGACTAAGCAGGCAAGAACAGGGCTCTGATACCAGCTATTATGAATTAATCAGAGTAATAACAAGTAGTGTAATAGAAGAGTCGTGATTCAAGAGTGTCGATACAAATGAGGGCCTAGGCATTTATATGCACGAACAGAGCTAGCCGAGAACCACGCGAACAGGTTGGGGCGATTCAGTTGGCGAAAGCCACGGAAGCCCTGCGCGTCGAGGTTTGGGTTCGCAAAATGGTTCGGGACCGAAGAAGTTGGCCGAGCCTGGACTTCCGAGAGTCGAGGGCGTACGGGCTGTAGTCGAGCCCAGTAAGGAAAAAAGAATTTCCTTACAATTCCAGTAATGAACTCTGCCCAAGACTTGTTACAGTCAAGGATCTTGACTCTGCATTCGACTCAGCAAGCCCCACTGCCGCCCTCTCATCCTCCTCCCGCTCATCTCCCTGCGCTGCAACTCACCCACCACGCTCATCCCCTCCATCCCCTTTACAAGCTGCTCCACTTCACTGCAAGCCGGCCTGCTGGCAGGGTTATGCTCAGTGCACCACTGCACCAGCGCCGTGGCTTGGTGGTACCTCACCGGACCAAACCGGGCGGCGAGCTGATGATGATGGACGGAGATCTCTGAAGAAGCTTTCGCACTCGACTCAAACGTGGCTGCCGCTGCGGCTGTTGGTGCATAGAATGAGGCACCGGCTGGGCCTGGTCTTGTTCCTGCTGCTGCTCCTGCTCCTGTTCCCGCGCCTGCACCTGCTTCGGTTGCTCTTCCTGACGCTGCTGCCGCCGAAGCAGACTCTGATCTTCGAGCCACGGTAACCGGTCCTGGTTCGGACCAGGAAGTGGGGAAGACGCCTGCACCAGCAGCAGTTTCTGACCGCGAGCCTTCTGTGCGGCTCTCCAGGCCCCTCCTTTCCTTTAGCCCTCCATGCCCCCTCTCCCTCCCTCCCTCGCCTATTTCCCTCTCCCTCTGCTCTCCTTCCCTCCCTCCCTCGCCTGCCCTTACGACCGATCGTGCTGACATGTGGCGATCCAGGCTTCTTCTGATTGGCCAGCTGGATTCTCCTGCTGCCTCTCCTGTTTTCCATATAAGCTCCTTCATTATAACGCCGAGCGCGTAGACGTCGCTAGCAGAGCTGTAACGACCAGACCCCATAAAAGCAGGATCCACATACCTAGCACTCCCAAATATGATACATCCGAGCCTCTTCCCTGCCGAACCTGGCCCATCCCGAGCATGCCACGGCAGGCCGTAATCCGCCAGCTGCACCCGGATCTGGGCGGCAGCTTCGGCCCGAGCCTCCCGCCGAAGCATGTGGCGCCACCACCGCTGCTCGTACGCGGAAAGGTGGTCCGGCAGGTGGGGGTTTCGGAAGTGCGTGGAGGCACTGAGGAGCACATTGGAGGGGTGCAGGCTGCCGTGCAGAAAGCCGTGGGCGTGCAGGTGGGAGAGCCCGGAGGCGATCTGACGGGTGACAGCCAGACGGGCGGACCAGGAGGAGAGCGAGGAGGGAGAGCCCGCTCCACTCAGCATGGCGTCTGGGGTGATGGGGGAAGGGGGATGGGATGCGACAGGCGGAACATAATTGAGGGATTGTTGTGAAAGCGGGCGGTTCTGCCAACCTACTGGGCGATGCGGGGGCGCGGTGAAATGTGGTATAATGTGGTATAACGTGGTGTAGCGTGGTGTAGTGTGGTGGAGGAATAAGCTCACCTCTTGCCACTGCCGATTCCAGGGAGTGCGCGGAGGGATTGGCGCGGAACACGAGCAGGAGCTCCTCGACGCAGCTGAAGCCAAGGACTGGCAGCAGGTTGGGGTGTGCTGCCGCCGCTGCCAGAGAGCCCATCAGGTCCCGCTCCCCCGCATGGGGCACAGCGCCTTGAGTCACAGCCCCCCTGTGAGTCACAGCGCCTTGAGTCACAGCCCCCCCTTGAGTCACAGGGCCTTGTTGCTGTGCGGCATGGGCAGAGTTGGGTGTACCGCTGCAGAGGCAGCGGGCACGGCAGGGGCATTCCTCCGGCCTTGCGTCGCTCTTGCCACTCGCCCGCCGCTTCTGCTTCCGCTCCTGGTGCCTGCCACGTCAGCAGCTGTCGTGGACGTTAGAGCGGGCGACGATGGCGACGAGGGAGAGGAGAGCGACGGGGGCAAGGAGGGCGAAGAGGGCGAGGAGGGAGACGAGCGAGACGAGCGAGTCGAGGGGGGCAGGTAGCGCCAGCGCTTCACCCTCACGCACCCGCCCCTGAGAGCCACACACTCGGCTGACGTCAGCTCACGACACGCGCTGCAGCCAGCAGCGCAACGCCGCCGCTGAATCCTCCCTCGCTCCCCCCTCCTCCTGCTTTCCCAATTCCCGCGTGCCCGATTCCCCCTTCGACAGGACGTAAATTTCGGAGGTCTGCTTGGCAGTGGGAGTCCCTGTTGCCGTGGCGGCATGCCCGGTGGTGGCCGGTTGCCTCCCCACGTGGCAGCACCCGCGGTAGATGGCGCCCGCCCAGTCCATTGAGAGCATGGCGTCGGGGCCAAAGCCACGCGTGGTGAGCGCTAGTTCGCAAAAGGCGAACTCCAGGGGAGGGGATGCTGCTGTTGCTTGGGATGCTGCTGGTGGGCTGCTCCTGCTGCTGCCGGTGATGCTGGTGGTGCTGCTGCTGGTGATGCTGGTAGTGCTGGTGGTGACAAGACAGAGAGTCATGGACACGTGGAAGGTCGCCATTGGGAGGATGAGCCCGACGAGGAGCCTTTGTGATGATGACACGTGGCAGAAGCCCAGTGGACGAGACCTGGGGAAGGGCAATGGAGGAGGAATATGAGGGTGGATAATGGTGAGAAATCAGTCACTAATCTATCAGGGTAGGGTAGGGTGCGGTAGGTACGGTACGGTACGATACGGAAGGGCAGGGTAGGATAGATAGGGCGGGATGATGCACCGAAACTCATGCCAGAATAGGCTCTAACCGTCTGAAATCGCCTTCAATGCAATTATAAGAGGCAATGACATGCCGTGATCATGCCATTCCAGGCCAAACACGTACCCGTTATAATATTCATGTAGTCGCGCGCTTTTTCGGAAAGCTCCTACTCTTGTTAATGGCTCCCCTCGAGCCGCACTCCGTCGCTGCAGCCTTCGCTATCCCGCAGGGCGCGCCGCTGCGTGATTCGCGGGTGCTCATGGAGTTTCGCTATAAAGCCCGACCCTTATCCAGCGTACAACGGTATGCTTTATAGGCGAGGCGAATCTGGTGTTACCGAAAGTTTCGAGTGAATGGCTGACAGCTCGACAATAAAACCGGCTCGGTCTAAGACTTAAATCAGCCTGGAATTAACCTAGGGTCCTCAGGGGACTCAGCTAAGGGTGTTGAATAGAAGAGCTGTGCTGACTTTTGAGTCGACTCAAAAGTCACCTGGGGGACGAGCTCTGAGCGAATAAGGATGAGCTCTGCGCGAATAAGGACGAGCTCTGAGCGAATAAGGACGAGCTCTGAGCGATATGTGGTGCGACTTCTCGCAGGCACAAAGATTAAAACCAGCAGTCCCGATTGTCCGTACTACCTGGCACTACACATATCGCAGTAGCAGCAGCAGCAGCACTGATAGTTGGCACCTCTCGCTTCGTCCAGGCGTCGCGCCAGCGCCAGCGCCAGCGCCACGACTTATGGCTGAACCAGCTCAGCCTGAGGTCAGTTACCAACGGAATCCTGTCTCGATACATGTGTCGGCCAGCCATTCCGTACAGCTCGTGCACTTGTACCGAGCCGATGATTCGCTACAATACTTTGCAGCTTACAGACCGTATCATGCGCAACCTACGGCACCCCGGTGTGGTATGATGACAAGGTTCAGCAGCACTGCCAGGAACAAGGCCGATCACAGAACCGCTAGGCACTGTCTCGTGTAGTGTGAGTGCTCAGCCTGTCTGGTCAGACCGGGACTGCAGCCTTTCCGGCTCGATAGACGGCGTACTGCCTGAAGGTTACGTTCGGCCGGCTAATTACTGATGTACTGATGGCGGTCAACGGCCAGTCAAGTGAGGAAATAACGGCCGAACACAGTTCCCAGGGAGAAATTACAGGCTGTACAAGATTCCAGTCTAGACAAAATGCTCTCAAGACTATGGTGCTTTCAAGGTTAAGTTACGTCATAATACGCGGTGCAGTGAGTTTCTACTTCGGTTATTTTAGATCACGAGGTTGGTCTCCCTTACCGAACCACTTTCATGCAGACCCAAGCCTAGCCCGAGCCTACTTTGACAGGGGAATCGCAAAGAATGCGGTCGCTGGTCAGTTAGGACCGAGCTTGCTCGGCAAGCGAAGCAGCACCACAAGGGAATTGCTTTGAAAATTGGAGAGCGTGTCACATACATTTGCGTTTTTTGGGGGG